TAGTTGTGGCTTGACTCATATTCACATTAACTTGTAGTTATAGTTTTACTCATATTTACATTATCTAATATTCTCATTCAATTTTATAGCTTATTTTCTGTACCATTAAAGTAAAATTAAAAATATAAAGAATTATTTTCTTATGAAATTAGAACAGAGAGATTATGATATATTGCGTCATGTGCTCTAAATATAAAATTTTATTTTTTCTTTGATGCAAGGTCCTTATCAAATGTTGCACCAAACGATGTGTATGAAAAATACTATTATAACCTACTTGCGTAGGCCAATTGTATTGTATATATGACATATAACTTATCTAGAATATCCGCATCTACTAAGTGAATTTTGCTATTGTGAAAGCAAAATGTTAGAGGTTCACATTCAAACTTTTTGTCTCTGTAAAAGACAGAAGAATTTGGAGTGCACAACTTATATATCGTAAAGAACATACGGGTTCATGAAGAATTTTTCCTAATAACGATATTATTACAATGATATCATTATTCAGTATTAAATCAATTTTTTATATAATATTACATAACTCTTTTTAATAAATTATAAAGTATATATATGAAAGTCTCAATGCTTATAGTAGTAGTTGGCTCTATAAAATAGGTTAAATTTACATTGTAGTTTGTTAATGGTAGTATTGTTGGCAATACCATAACCTTTCCTCTTTATCTTATTATTCACGCTTTTCTGAAGTAAGTTCTCTTTTGCTAATCACTCAGTTAGCTATATTTAGTTTTTATAATATCAGAATTTAGAATATTCTCTTCTGTTTAAAAAATATTGACATGATTTTCTTTAAAAATATATACACATAGTAGTAATAGTATATATACTTTAATTCAACTCAAACATTTGGCTTGAAGCCATTTAGAGTAAGGTCCTTTCTACGCTAGAATAGTGATATAGTGATTACATAATCCAAAAGTCAAAGAAGAAATTTCTACAAATGAAAAGTACTTAAAGTGTTAAAGTAATAACTAATTTATAAAATATATATGGGCAGTGGAGATAGCTATAGAAAGTAAGGTATATATCTTCATGAATATTCCATAGTGAGTGATCAACTATAATCATCCTAATTTAAGCATAAATAATTATTATTTTAGTTACTAATTTAATACGTGAAACTATGGAATAAATCTCAAGCCAAAAATAGGAACTGAAATCGTATTATCATGTAGGTAAATAAATAAATGTTATTAGAGCTCCTCTTTATATTAAACTTAAAAGTAATAATTTAAATTATTAAGCGCCAAATATCAGTTCATGTTAGAAAGTAAAGTAATCTATGGTCTATATACATATACAGTCAATCAATCAAACATATTAAAATTATGATGACTACAGTCAAAATTATATGGTGAGTTCATATTAACTATAATTTATAAAATATAGTACATTAAAAACAAAATCCTTTTAACCACTATATAGATTGTCTAAATTTTTTTACATACATAAACAATACTACCTAGGAATAGTGATGTTCGCACTTAACTATGGCCTAATAATCTTATGAATGACTTACACTTCAATATCATCATTAATTGACGTATCTATGCATTACACTAAAAATACAATTAAAATTTAGAAAACTACAAGAGAAACAACCTCAAAAGTTTTAAAAATTATTAAAGAAATACCCTAAAATTTTTTAATTTAGAAATACACAAAACTATTAAACATTACATTGAAATTAAGGAACTACAAAAAATTCATTAAAATTTTTAAACTTTGGAGGGGTAATTTATAATGTACTAAACTTTAAGGGTGTTTTTTTATAAATTTCATAACTTAATAGATTTTTAATTAGTTATGTTCTTTTTAAAAAAGTTATGGGTAACATTGACCATGAAACGTTTTTCCTAAACCTATACTTTTAAAGGGAGTATGATATTTTTTTTATAAATTTTTAATTTTCTAGGAGCTGTTAGTAATTTTGTATATTCATTTTAGTGTCTATAGGTTAGAAATTCTCATAGTGTTTTTTTTTGTAAATTATGAATTTCAGGGGTTTTTTGTAATTTTTTAAACTTATACGCATTTTCTACGGATTGTAAATTGTTTATAGACTATTTATAATTCCTATATTTTCAATTTACAAATGAGTTTGAAATTCTCATGGTGTTTTTTATAACATTTGAAATTTGAGGGTTTGTTTGTAATTTTTAAAACTCTAAGGGTGTTTTATTAAATTATAAATTATATAAGGGATATTTATAATTCCTATATTTTCAATGTACTGTTAAGGGTGTTTTATTAAATTATAAATTATATAAGGGATATTTATAATTCCTATATTTTCAATGTACTGTTAAGTTAGAAATTATCAGGTTATAAATTATATAAGGGATATTTATAATTCCTATATTTTCAATGTACTGTTAAGTTAGAAATTATCAGGATTTTTATAAATTTTATAATTTTGAGAGTTTTATTTACAATTTGTAAAAAGTTCAGAGGGTTTATTACAAATTGCATAAATTTTGGGGGTTTTTTGTGTTATTTGTCAGTTTTTAATGTGTTTATATGTTTGAAATATTCAATGTATTTTTTATAAATTTTGAATTTTTAGGGGTGTTTATGTAATTTTTAAAAATTATAATATATTTTCTCCAAAGTTAAAAAAACGTTTAGTTGCTAGCTAGCATATATTTTTCAGATTTCTTACTAAATTGAAATAAGTAAAATTTATAATTTTCAAGATGTTTTAATAAAATTTTGAATTTGTAGGGATGTTTTTGCAATTTAAAAAACTTGGAGGATATTTTTTATAAATTTCAAAAACTTTTAGGTGCTGGCTAGCACATGTTTTTTAGATTTCTCTTTGAACTGAAATAAGTAAAGATTTGAATTATATCAAATGTATCTCCTTTATCCAATAACATGTTAAATCTTATTATGAATATGATAAATCATTTAATTACCAATTCAAAGAAAATAGGATAATTAGAATAGATTAGGATAATAACTTAATATTCAAAAAAATTAAGAGTAATATTGACAATGGAAAGATTTTCTCAAACTCGTACTTTTAAAGGGAGTATGATATATATATATATATATATATATATATATATATATATATATATATATATATATATATATATATATATATATTATATACAACAAATTGTACTTTTCCCAATGCTTATTCCCGACGCATGGTTAAATACGTCGCCAAAAATTTTGTTTTTCCCGACGATTTTAGTTAGTGTCGGCAAAACATATATTTTCCCCCACGTTTATAATTAGCGTCGTTAAAAACGTATATTATTAGCGACGTTTTAACTTAGCATCGTTAAAAGTGTATGCTTTTCCGACGTTTTTCATATTCGTCGGTAAAAATATATATTTTTAGCAACGTTTTAGGATTGACGTACATATTTCGCGACGTATTTGGTTGGCGTCGCGAAAAGTCTATTTTTAACGAAGCTTTTATTCGTGTGCGTCGCCAAAACTTTTGGAGGGAAACTTCCCTCACTTATTTTCGCGAAAAGAGGAAAAAATACCAAAACCCCCAATTCTCCCGTTCTTTCTCTCTCTCTCTCCCTCCCCTCCCCCATCTTCGTCTTCAAGAAAAACCCTAGAGATCTCTCTGATCTCTATTGCTTCCTCTGTCTATTTAGTATTTACCTGCTTTGGTGTTCTAACTATGGCTAGGGATTTGCCTTCTCTCTCCTTGATCGCTCCATTTCGCTTCGGATTCCGTCGTTGCTTTTGATGAGAGAGTGTCTTTGGTCTCTTTTCTTCGAGGGTCTGTCCTTGGGAGGAATCCGTGTTCCTTCGTGATCTTTTCCAAGATTTGACATTTGTTCTCGCCTCAATTAGAAGAAAGAGGAAAGTAGTCGTTGTGATCGGGGCTTAGTAAGAGAGGATTAGGGCTCAATTTGTTGGGAATTTAACGCCTAAATCCCCTAATGCAACGGAAACGCGGTATAGAGAACAGTACACCAATATTTACGAGGTTCGGCAACTGCCTACGTCCTCGGGAGCCACACAGTAAATTTCTTATTAATCCAACAAGAAATTACAATTTTAGGAGCAGATCCCTAAACTGGGATTTCTCAAATAAACACTGTAGCTACAGTGTTAATAATAACAGGGTATGAACCCTTTCAATACCCACTTGAGAATAAATACCCCACAATCAAATCCCTCTTTTTAATTCTCTATCTCTCTCTCCTTTTAATTCACTTCTTAATCTCCCCTCAAAAAACCAATTTGAGAGCTGGAGATGAATGAAATCACTGCTGTGATTTAATTGGGAAACGCGACTGCGTTTTGGGGCTTCGCCGCCAGAGAGAAATCGGAGGAGAGGGGGAAGCTTCAGCAACCCAAAACCCTAAGCTGGGGGTATCTTTTATAGGCGGATGAGGAGGAGGAGCTGGCGACAGCCTGTCGCCAGCGGCTACTTGGACGCCAAGTTCGGACCCCCCCCAAAAACGCAGAGCTCTCCATCGCAACGCAGAGCTCGCCATCGATCCTGTGACGCAGAGTTCGACCATCGACGCAGAGCTCGCCATCGACGCCAGCTTCGAACGAACGCAGAGCTCGAGGCTTCGAGCTCGTCCTGTCGCCTGGACCTCGCCGCCTGTCGCCTGGACCTCGCCGCCGCCATCCTGGAGCTCGTCGGAGCTCCTCCGCCGCCGGAGGTTGGTATCCACCCCCAACCTATCACAATTGAGTCGGATTTCGTTGTTTACAGGGTTTGCATGTTGCTTCTGAGTCCATTTATTGAGGATCGAGACTTAAGCCCGAGGGTTTGAGGAGGTTTCTCCGGAGAGTGGGGAACGAAAAGAAAGATCTTTTCTTCAATTGCCCTTTTATTTAGCGTTTTCTCGCTCGAAAAACATTGCTTCTCTCTTTCTTGTTTTCAGTCTGGGTTGATTGAAGCCAAACCTTTTGAGACCGTCTCTTATCTATTGTCCTCAATAATTTAATTATTGAATCCTGATTAAAACAAAAAAAAATGGAGGCCCAGCAGTGGGAGCAGCGGCGGACTGGAGAAGCACATGGACAGCACGGGGAAGTACGTTCGTTACACAGCAGAGCAAGTTGAGGCCTTGGAAAAGGTTTAAGCTGTGTGCCCGAAGCCGAGCTCGATGAGGAGTCAACAATTGATCCGTGAGAGCCCCATCTTATCCAACATTGAACCCAAACAAATTAAAGTTTGGTTCCAAAATCGAAGCTATACTGTTTAATTCTTACTTGTGTTTGGACAGTTGATGAAGTGTTTGTTCTTTTGGTTCTCTTGATGTCGAAAAATTTGGCCTTGTTACTACTACTATTATGTATGTTGCCTCTTTGTCAGATTTCAATTTTTTTCTCTATATTTATCCTTTTAGCCACTTATATAAATCAAAGAAGAATGATAGATTAGAAACAGTGGTCAAAGGCAGAATTCATTTGGATGACAACTATTCTATTTAGCGATGGAGCTGTCTTTGATTGTTTGCCTCACTTGTCCTCCATTTGTCTCATGTATTATTGTCATGGTTCTAATAAAAGCAATACGTTTCCTCGTTTACCACCTTTGAAAAGGGGAAAGCTCTAGCACTGTATATTTTCAATTAACTTTGCAGGCTAACGAGAGTCAGTTTATGGATCAAATTTAAACAGGCTATTTTAATGTCCTTCAGCAAGAAGACAAGTGTATGCAATTTCCTCATAACTTTGCCGTTATTCAAGTTACTATGACTATTTGGTTGAGCAAATTGTTCATCAGCTAGGGAATTTTGGCGTTATTGTATTTTCAAATTCTTTTTGAACCAGGCACATCAACACTGTTTTTAGTCTAGTCTACTACTTCCAAGGTTCCTCTCAATATCTTTTTAAAGAGAGATGTTATTGTTACCGACTCTATCCTTTTCTAGTGAGTTATTTCAGAAAGCTAGCTCTCTTTGTATGGGTGTGGTTATTAGATGCGACTCTATCCTTTTCTAGTGAGTTATTTCAGAAAGCTAGCTCTCTTTGTATGGGTGTGGTTATTAGATGCATCTCAACATTTTCTTCAACCCCCATTTCAGAAAGCTAGCTCTCTTTGTATGGGTGTGGTTATTAGATGCATCTCAACATTTTCTTCAACCCCCTCCCCTTCCCTTCGCTCTCTTAGATTGGTTCCTGAGTCGTCGTTATATTGGCAAGTCTAACCCGTATGTAAACAGCTATGCTTTGATTCTAAGAGTATTTATCTCTCAGATGCCGTGAGAAGCAGAGGAAGGAGTCTTCTCGTCTTCAATCTGTCAATAGGAAGTTGACTGCATTGAACAAGCTTCTGATGGAGGAAAATGAACGCCTCCAAAAATAGGTCGCTCAGTTGGTTCATGAGAACACATACATGAAGCAGCAACTACAAAATGTGGGTTCCCACTTCCACTACTTAAATGATAACTTGTTATTTATAGCTTTATTGGAACTATTGTTTACCCTTGTTTTCCCTCTATCAGCAGGTATCTCTTGCTAATGACACAAGTTGTGAATATTGTGGCCATTTAGGACCTTCCATTGACCACATCCATTTCACTTGCTCAGAGCTTGGCTTCTGTGGCCTTAATTTGCATACCACATGGTGTTGCATGCTCAAGGTACTACATGGTAGTATGATCTGTATTCTATTTATCACTATGAGAGCATAATATTTGTTTCCTCTTTAGATAGGGGTACGCAAGCTCCGCTGCAAACTGGTGCTTTAGAATGTATTACCTACTTTTATGCTTTTGCCATGAGACCTTCAATTTTTGTACGTTGCAGCTGGGGAAAATAACAGATCATTGCGATTTTTATGGACTCATGAGAGCGGATTGTCAAGCAGTAACAATTTTGAACACTTGACATCTAGTTATAAACTACTTTAGAAACTCTTTGTGCCTGCCATTGTGAAAATATCTTCTCTGAGCATCCAGACCGGTAGCCATGTCTGTGTTTGGGTTTTGAAAGACATTCACAAAACTAACTTTTCCTGTTGCCTTTTCTGTTAGATGAGCTCCCCTTTTATGTTACCGAGGAAGAAAGAGTAGTCGACATTCAAGGTGAACCCTTGAAGGTTCTTAAGGCTCTTGAAGCTGTGGTTGGTCATTTGCGGAAATTTTTGGTTGATCATAGTATTCTTCCCTTAGTTGAAAAAAGTGTAAGTCTCCTTTTTCTTCATTCCTGTTCTTTGGAAAATTTATATTGATTGTTGTCGTTGTCTGTTTTGCTCAGCCGCAGCCCAATGCACCACTTGTTCAAGCTCAAGCTCCTGTAGCAGCTCCTTGGAGTGATCAAGCTCCATCATTGATACATACTGCTCAGCAGTCTGGCATGGGCGGTGATTATTCATTCCCATTGAAGCGTGCTTCTCTTTATCTGGAGCACGATTCTCATTTAGATTCACAAATCCAACGTTCAGGTGCACTGTCGTCATTTTATCGACAGGAACCTCCTCTTTCTGGACTGCATTCCACAGGATTAGGGAGGAGTGCTGCCGCTTTAGTTACTCAGGTTTGTTTGTCTGCCAGTCTATATCCTACCAATTTTTAGGATTTTGTTTGTATTGCATTGGTGGTTAATTTAGTTTGTCTCAAGGATGTTGTTTTAGTAATGTACAATCATGTTTAGTTAGAAATCAGGGCATGTTGGGCATAACCCCCTTGCCCTCTCATCATATCTTCAGTCGCATTGAACCCCCTCAATTCACAAGGAAGATGATTGTTTCTTGCAATTTACCTTTCTAAGGGGTCCTCAGGTGCTAGTAAATGAGTTGAGTGGGTTTGGTGCCACTGAAGTTATAGATGAGAGGGGAGTCATCTGTAATTTACCCTAGTAACATCATGCAATAATGGTTATGTATTTCTTTGTGAACATGTTATTTTGATATTATGTATTTCTTTGTGAACATGTTATTTCAATTCCTCAAATATATCATACCAAAATGTTGCCCTGTCCTTGTTGTGTTTCTTACTTTCATTTATCCTTTTTCACAGCAAAAAACTACCTAGACTTCAAGAGAACTAATGAGTACATTGCTTGTAAACAATCTGTCTAGCCATTCATCATGAAGGAATCATTTAGAACCTAATTACTTGATTTGTTATGCTTGTATTCGTCTAGTTGTCTCCTCAACATCTAAAGAATCATTTAGAACCTAATTACTTGATTTGTTATGCTTGTATTCGTCTAGTTGTCTCCTCAACATCTAAAAACTGTTTTTGGATTCAGGTTGCTGATTTGTTATGCTTGTATTCGTCTAGTTGTCTCCTCAACATCTAAAAACTGTTTTTGGATTCAGGTTGCGCAAACAATGCAGATTCCAATATCATATGCAGAGGACATCATCGGCATTGGAGGAGCAAACATTGCATACATCCGTCGTACAAGTGGAGCTGTCCTTACCGCTCAGGAGAGTGGGGGCTTGCATGATGAGATCACAGTTGAGATCAAAGGCTCTTCTAGTCAAGTTCAGGCTGCTCAACAGCTCATTCAGGTATGTCAGACTCCTATGTTAGTATTTAGGGCTAATTGTACATATGCCCCCCTGTAGTATGAGTATCACTGTTTTGAACTTGTTATCGCTGTAGTTTTACTTTGACAGATAGGCCCCCGAGTTAAATTTGTTTTTTGACTAATCCTCAGATGGTCGCACTGATGCCATCAGGGTAAAAGAGTCGAAAATTATTTCACCTAGGCTATCTGCAAAAATGAGACTACGTGGATAATAAGCTCAAAACAACAATACCTCATGGGATTTTCGTGCAAACAACCCTAGTATTTATAAGATGGCTTCTTGGAGATGGATACTGCTCTTTAATGCAAGTTTAAGTAATTAAATCAGTCTTTTTTCCCCCTTCATAAACAGGATTTTATGTCGGATATTAAGTTGGATATTAAAATTCAATCAGATTACAGTACACATTCAGATATTAAGTGGTAGACAAGCTGCATTATGCTTCTTGGCGATGGAAGACTACTTTCATCGCCTTCGAGCCCTAAGCTCACTGTGGATGGCTCGTCCAAAAAACTTTTAGACGTCGAAAAGATTTGTAGAGAGATGTACAGATGCTGTCAGTTCTTTCTTGAGGAAATTTGTAGATTAGAAACCAATGACAGTTATAAAAGAAAATACCGAATACATTTTTGCTGATTGCATGTTACTTTAAAGGGAATTAAGATCATAGAGGATCCCTTAAATTGAGAAAATCATATAAGAGGAAGGATATATAACGTGTAGACTTCAAAATTGATGATTATCGCATCGATACAATTGTCTGTTTTTAGTGATTAGTAGGGAACTTATTTCAGTCTTACTTCTTCCATCATTTGTTACATCAAACACAAAAAGAAAAAAAGAAGAAAAAAATAAATTGCATCAGGAGGACAATTGTCTTCACTTGAATACAGTGGTTGACAGCGATAATCGTTTAACTGCAGTTCAGTTAGTACAACCAATAATGTACTGATTTATTAGTTATAATATATGGGTTGCAGTTCAGTTAGTACAACCAATAATGTACTGATTTATTAGTTATAATATATGGGTTAAAATTCATGGTATGTCATGTATCATTATCTTCTTTCTTCCCCATACAATATTTTCCTTTATTGCCTAATAAGATTACAAGTTTCTTGGATATTTATTTATTTTTAATGCTGCTTTATTCTTGTTATGCAGGAATTTGGATTTGATTATCTTATAAGTAGAGAGCAACTTGTCATGAGGTTACAAGCAAACTGGAATATTTAAACAGTTGTTCCATTCTTTCTTTTCTTTCACCTTTTCCTCTCGGCAAATTGTGTTTCTTTTTTTCCTTTATGGATTACAAGTAAACTGGAATATTTAAACAGGCCGTTGAGTGTTGACTTGGAAATGGAAATGAATGTAACTATTTTATAATAGGAGTAAATTCTTTGTTTATCATAATATGCAACGTGTTTGGAGTATCATTTGATGTTTGGTTTTTTTGTTGATGTGAATGAGTGCAATTTTTTTGTGGATGTCCAGGTTCAGTGTAGGCTTGTAGTTGACATTAAAGAAAATTATGTGTTACTAAAAATTATACTTTTGCTGACGTTAAATTGCGTCACTAAATTTTTAACTTTTAGCGATGCACTAAATTGCGTCACTAAATGTAACACTTTTGCTGATGTTATATTGCGTCGTCAAAAGTAATATATTTTAGCGACGCTATCTTGCGTCGCCAAAGATATAGTTTTTAGCAACGTTTCTCTCTACGTCGCTAAAGGCTACACTTTTGTCGACACTAACTTGCGTTGTCAAAAGTATAATTTTTAGCGACGAATAGTTTTGCGTATTTAAAAGCTATGTTTTTGTCGACGCTTTGGTTTTTCCCAATGCAGCATGCGTCGCCAAAAGTACAGGTTTTGCTGACGCATCTTTTGCATTTGAAAAAGTTCTTCATACGTTTGCTGATGCAAAATATTATGTGTCGCTAAAAGATGTACTTTTCCCGACACATGAAACGTCGCCAAAAGTGTTGACTTTTACCGACGCAGGTTGTTTTGCGTCGCCAAATATTTTCCTTGACGCACTTTTGGTGACGCGTTAGCGACACTGCATTTTGCGTCGGGAAAGATTTTTTCCGACGTTTTTGTTTCGTCGAAAATGCTGTATTTTGTTGTGTGTGTGTGTATATATATATATATTTAACTTTAGGTAGTTGCTTTTAATAGAGATATATATACATTAAAGGACAACATTGAAATTCAGGTGGTTGCTTTTAATAGATACGTCCAAATTTAATGTCGATGTTAAATGTAATTAATATTTTCTCTTTAGGACTTTTTGTTTATTTATTTATCTTTCCTTTTTAAAAAAAAATTTGAGTTTAGCCTTTCAGAAGAAATTTCCATAGATATTTCACGAGAGGGTGGCACTAGGGGCACACCACCAACCACATCTCCAACCACACCCCCTCTCTCATTTGCTACAGTGCACCGCGCCCCACATGTGATTTTAAAATTTTAAAATTACATGTGGGGCCTGGTGTACTGTAGCAAATGAGAAAGGGGGTGTGGTTGGAGGTGTGGTTAGGGGTGTGCCCCTATCATTTTCCTTCACGAGATGCACATGTATGATGTAGTATCCTCTTCTTAATTATGAATGAGTAATATATAAGATCCTTGTTGCTTTCTTTGATTTCAATACACCTGATAAAAAAAAATCTTATATAAAGCTAAATTAGCATCTATATACTTGGATATATACTATAGTTAGAACATCACTCTAGTTGTTAGATTCTTACCATAATTCGGATAATGAAGTTCAATAACAGGTGGCTACTCTTGTTAGATCTAGTTTTCGCTCCTCTATAATCCAAGTATATATTTCTGTAACAGAGAAATTTTGTGCCTACACAGCAACAACCGACCCTTCTCCTTATCCACTTTACAGCGACACCTGAATTCCATGCTATTTTGAAGAGGGAAACGTACAAAACCAGAGCGTAGAATTTAAGCATGTATAAGTGTTATACTCCTGTTGATGGAAATTATTATGTTAAAAATAAAAATAAGATAAGGTTGAGAGGAGTGATCCATGAAAATGATTCTGTCCCTTTCTCACCAAATCATGACCGAATCATTCATCCCATCGTGACCCTTGTGTTCAACAACTTATGTACTTTGGGGCTACTGTTCTTTTACCATAAGCAACTCACAACTCATCCCCTCACCTTTATTTTGATTGGCTTATCGGTCAAGTGAGATGTTGCCGTGCCACCATCAAATGAAAAGACCTGGCCAGCAAAATTTAACCTATCAAACCCCAGTTTTGCTTCCGTTGATCATTTCTAGCTTCCATTGCCAAGGCAACTTCCTCTGCACTTGGCAAAAAGAGATTTTCACAGCACGTAACGTTTCCCCACTCTTATTTTTTTTGGATAACTTTCAAAGCAAGAAACTTGGAAGCACATATCCTTCTACTTTTTCAACTTAATTTTTAGCTATTTAGTCTTAAAAAAACTCATTGCTTACGGAGATACTTGTAGTTATAGTTGCAACCGTGTGTTTCACTCAGCCATTATATTTCTACAATTAATAATTTTCGAAAAGAAAATGACATTCAATCAATTTAATGAGAAGTCATTTTTACAAAATGATTCCTTTATAGTGAAGACAATTGTAAAAAACATTGTGATTAGGAAAAGCTAAATTGCTTGTATAAAATATTACATTTTTTTATTATTTTACAAATTAATTGCAACCATAGTTACTGTTGTGCGCAACGAAACTCGAATCACACGAACAAGAACGAGAAAGATCACAACCAAACACAAGCACAAATCACAATCACAGAAAGACAACGAATTTTACGTGGTTCGGCAAGTTGCCTACGTCCACGGGACAATGAGGGGGGAGCTCTTACTATTAGAAATCAAGAGAATACAAATAGGGTTACAAAACTCACCAATAAACCCTAGAACAAAGCTCTCTAGATCTCTCACAAATCCTCCCACAATTGATGCACTATTCTCTCTTAAAAGCTGCTAAAAAACGCCCTTGCTTAACCCTAATTAATCATGTTTAGGATTCAAACAGCAAACTAAACGGGTTGAAAACCCAAAGTCCAGCTCAGACCCGCTACGCGGTCGACAGCCGCGATCGTCACGATCGACCGCAAGGCAACGATAGAAACAAAAAATCCTACAGGGTTTGGCCGGTCGATCGCGTCGACCGTGGCGGTCGGCCGTCCCAACCCTAGAAACCTGCTGCTCTTCGTGCACATTTCCGGTTGACCGCAGCTGATCTCGCGGTCGACCGACAATCTTCCAGCCTGTTTTTTTGAGTTGTTTCTTCAACTGTTCACCACTTCTACAAATCTCCACCTCGGTGAAGTTTCTTCCAAAAACTAAGCTGACACTAAAGCATCCAAATGTCCCACTTGTTGTGTCCAGTACGAAGTGGAATCAACCCACGACAACGGACTCAATCCACAACAAGTCGGGAACCCAAACGAGAGCTTCAAACAATCTCCTCCCATCGGAAACAACAAATCCAACCGTCTGCATCGAAAAGACTGTCTACGTATCCTCTTGCCCAAGGAATTAAGCCAAACATAGTTCACCCAAATAGCCTCCAAAGACCCTCAACATTGAAGAATGTTCAATAGCTTCAAACAATGACCAAACTTCACACCTGAAACAACTTTGGTCAACATATCCGCAGGGTTGTCCTACGTGTGGATCTTCTCGAATATGACGTGTCCATCATCCAAAACATCACAAACAAAGTAAAATCTGATATCAATATGCTTCGTGCGTATATGATAAACCTGATTCTTCGTCAAATAGATAGCCGACATACTATCACAATATACCCGAAGGGTCTCCTATGCAATCCCCAAGTCTTCCAACAATCCATACAACCACAAAGCCTCCTTCACAGCTTCAGTCACCACCATATACTCCGTCTCTATAGTAGAGAGAGACACTGTAGACTGAAGTGTACATCTCTAACATACCGGTGCTCCTGCCAATGTAAATACATAATCTGAAGTAGACCGGCGCTTGTCAAGATCCCCGCATAATCTGAATCCACGCAACCAATACAATCATGTCCATGTAACTTGAAGTAGTTACATGTAAGCTACATGGATGTTGCCTCGATACCATGCTCACGGCCTGTGACAAATCTGGCCTCGTACACACCATCGCATACATCAAGCTACCCACCGCACTAGCATATAGAACATTCGACATGTAACTGAATTTCTTCATCCTTCTGAAAAATCAAACCAACATCCATGTAGCTAATGGAGTGGTATCTGCTTTTGCATTACCATCAAACTGAATTTCTTCATCCTTCTGAAAAATCAAACCAACATCCATGGTGCCTTTAACATACCGTAGAATCCACTTCCCGGCCTCCCAATGACCCTTCCCGAGGTCGTGCATGTACCTCGATATCATGCTCACGTCCTGTGACAAATCTGGCCTCGTACACACCATCACATACATCAAGCTACCTACTGCACTGGCATATAGAACATTCGACATGTAATCTCTGTTCTCAATTGAAACATGTGACATATTAGCTGAAAGCTTAAAATAGGGAGCTATGGAGTGGTAACTGCTTTTGCATTGCCATCAAACTGAATTTCTTCAACATCTTCTATAGATAACTCCTCTGTGTAAGCTTCAATCTCCCCTTTGCCATATCTCTCTCGATCTCCATACCCAATATCTTCTTAGCTTCTCCAAGATCATTCATCTCAAACTCGGATGACAGCTCATCTTTCAACTTTCGAATAGCCGAAGAATTCCTGGAAGCAATAAGCATATCATCAACATATAATAATAAATATATGTACTCACCATCCTGTAGCTTGTGTATGTAAACACATGGGTCATATGGGCTCATTGTGTATCCCTGGCTAATCATGAAGTTGCCGGATCTCTTATACCACTATCGCGGCGATTGCTTCAAACCATAAAGAGACTTCTTCAGCTTGCACACCAAATCTTTCATTCCTATAGCTTTGATTCCTAAGGGTTGTATCATGTAGATCTCTTCATCTAAATCTCAGTGTAGAAAGGCTATCTTAACATCCATCTGGATCAAATCCAAATCCAGTTGTGCCACCAATGCTAATAAAATCTGAATCGACGAATGCTTCATAACGGGTGAAAATACCTCGTTGTAACAAACGCCCTCAAGCTGTGTATATCCCTTGGAAACCAATCTGGCTTTGTACCGAATATTCCTAATAGAAGATCCCTCTTTCTTTATATATACCCACTTGCAACCAATAGCTTTTTTTCCCCTTAGGTAGCTTTGCAAGTTCCCAAGTGTCATTCTTCTGAAGAGAGTGCATCTCCTCCATAGTTTCCCTCCACCTGAACGAATCAGAGCTAGACTCTGGCTCCCTGAATGTAGAAGGAACCATGACATCAACGACCTCCA